CTAGCAGCCCGACACGTACACCCAGTCAGGCACTCGGCGGGGCACGTATACCTAGTCAGGCACAGAACCGGACATGTACACCCAGTCAGGCACTCGGCAGGGCACGTACACCTAGTCGGGCACAGAACCGGACACATACACCCAGTAGCTGGAATTGTACACCGACCAGCATGAGCAAGACGGCGGCAACAACCTTGATCCGGATGAATTTGCTATTGATCCAAAGAAGAGTGGTTGAGAAGAAACCTTCAACGTGAGGGAGGACGAGTTGTTGTGCAATGTGTGGTTGGCCACTAGCATCGATCTAATCCATGGCAGGTAGAAAAAGGGTGCAATATTTTGGGCCAACATTCATACTTGGTTCCATGAGCACAAGAATTTCAAGCCATACGCTGATGAACTCATCCGCAGCCATGGGACAATGTCGCTCAACCATTGATGGTACACCATCCAAGAGGTCGTGTCAAAGTATTGCGACCATTTGAAGCAAGTAATCGGTCGATGGCCAAGTGGTGCGCGAATCATCGGGCAAGTAAGTTGTTACATGTGTTGGTCATTTGGTCGGTTATGCAACTTGTTGGCCTGATATGCTCTATGTGTTGGTCATTTGGCCTGATCGGATGTGCAACTTGTTGGCCAGATATGCTTTATGTGTTGGTCATTTGGCCGGATACGCTCTATGTGTTGGTCATTTGGCTGGACATGCAACTTGTTGACAATGTTTTTCTTTACGGCCTTCACGTGTAACTTGTTCTTGAAGGTGGAGAAGAGGAACCTTGCCTTCATCCATTGTTGTTGAAGTTGAGTGGGCAGCCCAAGTGGAATTTAGTCATTGCCAGCTCTCTCAAGATCGCCGACATCGACACCATGGAAGAAGTGAGTGATCCAACCGACCCAAAAAAAGAGCTGCCCAGGAAGGTTGTAAGAGTGTTCCAGTGAAAGAGGTGGAAGGAAGAGAAGGAGAAGCGAGAATGAGTGGCGACCAAGATTGCAGAGAGGTTAGAGGGCATCTTGGCGAAGGAGGGGAGGTGTGTGTCAAGCACTGTGACATCAACTGTGAAAAGGGGGCTGAGGGGTTTAACATTCTTCTCTTCGAGCATGGTGGCGACTAATAAGATGCTCAAGCTCGAAGAGAAGAAGGTTGATATCGCAACCACTTTGGAGGATTTGAAGATGCTGACCTTGAAGATGGAGGAGTTGGTTGGCAATGCAAGGATGATCGTGCAAGTCGTCCGTCTTAGGATGTTGAAGCGCTTGAAGGGGTAGCGAGAGACGTCGGAGAAGGATGCGACCGAGAAGGAAGCAGATGGCTAGGAGGAGGAGGCGTCAGAGTGAGGGTGGAGGCTCGGATACCCGGTCCGGCATGGCAAAAAACATTTTTTTTAATGTTGTGAGGACTGTCCGACTGAGATACTTTTGTGGTCAGGCTTGTAGAGACTATGAACATCAGCCTCTTTGCTTGTGATTAGGCAGTATGCATTTGAATTTTAAATTGGCCGGTTCAAATTGGCCGAACTTGGGTGGACGGTTAGGGGATGTGGTTGGATGGTCGACTCCCGCATCCACGTTTGTAGACTGGTCCGGACCAGTCCGCGGACGGATACTGATGACCCACAAGTATAGAGGATTAATCATAGTCCTTTGATAAGTAAGAGTGTCAAACCCAACGAGGAGCAGAAGGAATCAATAAGCGATTTTCAGCAAGGTATCTGTTGTAAAGCAATAATAGCAGATAGTTTTATAGTAATACAATTCATAGCAAGTAACAAGTAATCAAGGTAACAAAGTGCAACAAGGTGTCCCAATCCTTTTATTGCAAAGTACAAGCCAAAAGTACTTCTTATAATGAGCAAAGCATTCTCGAGGACACATGGGAATTTATTTTCCGCATTTGCTTAGATGGGGCCTCATTGACATCCACTTGTTATTGGTCTTGGATGGATGTGACCTTCTCCTTGACCATGGCGGCGAGTCTCCTTGCCGATGTTGATGGCTTGACCGACCTTCGTCTATAGAGGACATACCACATAGTTCATCCAAGACATAAAAAACTAGGACATAACATGCATGCCACCGGACTACCAAAATTAGGCATGTTCTACTAGTTAAAATATGTCTACGGAGGAAGTTCAACCATGATTGCCCTTGCTCTTGCCCTTGTCCTATTTGTCACGATAGTAGCGTTGGAATACAATATAGGAGTCGAGGCGGATCCGCTCAATGTCGGAGTTGTAATTGTCGGGTGCGACACATACCTCATCCTCCTCTTCTTGGGGGGGGGGGGTAAGCCAGTGAGGGCACATATGTCTTCTGTTTGCTCCACCACGAGGGCATGCGCAACCCCGGGCTTGCCACTTTGCCAGGATCCAGGCACATGCATCATCAACAACCTCGTTCTCCGTGGTGCAACGCGCCTTTGCCCTATCACGGCGGGCAAGCCAAGCCTCGGTCTCAGCTTTGCCCCCGCGACTAGGGCTTCTAGAGCATTTGTGGCTATGTGCATTGGTGCCACTGACATTGGGACTGGAGACCAACGTAATGGGGACAAGATCCTAGCACCGGGGTTGCTCTGACACCGTGGGGCCATCCTCGAGGGTACCCATGTATCCTCCAACCGCCGCTTGCCGGATCCAATCCAGAGCAGGCACGCACCTCGAGCCGCCGATGGATGCATTGTTGTAGTTGGATCCAGGCCACACCGGCTCATATGCCACGAAGGTGCGAGCGCGCCTATTGCTTCATTTGCCATGAGCTTCCAGCAATAGATTCAAGCTGGAGTGGATCTCACGCCGGGTCCTGGATATCCTCCCAGGACCGACAGCGAACTAGTCAGATGACTATCTCCTCCTCGTCTGAGCAGGGGACAAGGTCTCAGTTGATGGATCCGGAGTTGCTGGGCTTAGATCCGCTACCCGCCAGGGTTTAGTCCGGGATTCAGACATGGATGGGATATTTTGTGGGGTCTGGGTAGTATGGTCCGACAAGACGAATGACAACCTAAAAGTTTGGGCTGACTTTGATGGATCTAGTTGGGTGGTGTTTTTTTAGCTCGGACGGTCGAGCTGTACACCGAACATTAGCAGGGGAGGGAGTCGCGACAACTATGTGTCGCCCGTACCGATTCCTAATAGGAATCACCAATGGGTGACCACTAGCGGGCTGGCCCATTTAGCGCGCTGGTCCATGCCGCTAGTAGTGGTCGCTGTAGGTTTGCTCTGTCCGGTTTTCCTCGTTTTCTTTTTGTTATTTTTTTCTTCATGCTAATTTTGTTTCTCATTGCACAATGCGTCCCTAACGATACGATTCTTGGCGGCATGCGATTCTGAACAGGGCCAAAGCAAATTTTATGGGCCCCAGCGAGCCAACGATCGCGCTAGAGGAATAAGAGTATGATCTCTCCATTGTCACGGAGAAGGAGACCTCCAGCGAGCAAATTGGTGCTCATGTAAGTATTTGCTTGGGCCGGCCGAACAAAGAGCTCCAACTCTTTTGATTGTCTCACGTTTGATGAAAAATAGACTGTTCGACGTTGACTGCTGACCACCGAGAGGTGGACGGTAGACTATTACCAATGGCCTAGTTGACCGTTGACATAAAAAAGTTCATAAATTTAAAAAGTGCACGAAAATTTGATAAAGTTCACAAAATTGTTTATTTTTCACAAATTTAGGGAAAAAAAATCATGAATTTGAAAAATTCCATACATTTTAAAAGGCGCACAAAATAAAAAGTTCATGAATTTGAAATAAGTCCATAATATTTGAATTTTTTGTGAATTTGAAAAGTTCATAAATTTGGAAAAATTATCATGAAAGTGAAAAAATATCACGAAAATGGGAAAAAGTTCATGAATTTAAGAAAGAATCACGAATTTGATAAATATCAAATTTAAAAAGTTCACACATTTGAAAAAAAATTAAAAGAAATAAAAAGGAGATAAGTGGGCAAAGCCATGCTAACAAAACCAGAAGAAGAACTCCTAGAACCGATGACAAGAAAACACTACATGGGATGGCCCATTTGCTACTAGTGCTGATCAAGCTCTTCGCAAGGTTCCCCTCAAAAAAAAAACTCTTCGCAAGGTAGCCGGGAGCCGACACATGATCACATCCACCAAATCTACCCAGGTCGCACACGGCACACCCCTAAGACCTCCTCAAGATTTTGGACGGCACACGACCGACCAATTGCCCCGGCGATGGACCGATATCAGGTAATTTTTCAAGAGTATATGATGCCACAGACAGAGAAAGTGGAATAAACTGACCAGCAATGCTACACTTACGGATAGAAAAGCTGCGGATTCTCGCTACGGACTGGTGTGGGAACTAGTGGTTGGATATCACAGGGCCCACACCCTTAAATTCAGACGGGAGGTTTAATAGAGAGAGGACAATTATGCATGTAGATGTAATCCGTAACAACTCATCCGTAAGTGTAGGATTTTTGTAAACTGACAGCAGGTAGCAAATGAAAGGACGGTAACACGTCCTGCTGTGCAGAGATATAGTTCTGTCAGCTTCAGTGCAGTTTTCTTAGCGAGACCAAGATGCAGATCTATATCCACTTCGGTGCTTAAATCTGATTGAAATTGAAATAAAAAATTATAAGCAGCAGTGGCATGTTACCAAGACAACGGATACTAGCATTTTAAAAAGATTTTTCAGTGGTATACAGAGAGAGCACCAGTAAGCAGTAGTACGGGCATCATTCTACATGGCTGGCTTGTCACAGCCTGAGAACCATCCAAATAATACATGATATCTGGGGTGAATAAGAATATTACAAATCGCTACTCTACAAGTGTAGCGATCCCAGTTATTATATCCTCGGGTTCATGCATCAGTACACTATAACCCTTCAATATGATACCTCATCCTGGAGATCCAGATCTGAACTAGCCAAGACCCACGTCCCAGGATGGCAATACAGACCACAAAAATAAGCAAGCTGTCCGATCATTGTGTCTCCAGGGATCCGAGAGCTCCGGTCGACGTCAGTCAATGTGCGGAGCTCCTGGGCTGGCTGAAGGATCCACCGGCATAGAGCATCTGATACACCGGCCGGATCCTCACGGTCAGGACTATGCTCAGCAGTGTGCCCAAGCAGGCCATGCCAGACAGAATAAAGAACGTGAGTCTGAAGCAATTGGGGCCATGGCACGCGACGTCAAAGTCCGTCGTCGTGGCGTGCTGCTTTTCCACCTCGAGATCGTAGAAATATCCTGCGAGACTGTTGAACAGGAGCGCGCCGAGTGGATTCCCGAGCGAGATGAAGTTGTAGATCTTCCCAAAGTGCTTCAACCCGAATAGCTCTGATGATGCTGAGATCATCGCCAAGAACTGGATACCGTAGCATATGCCAAGCAAGGCAACGGCGACGTGAAGTGTAGAGTGGAGACCCAATGCAAAGAGCAGGTATGTGAATATCATCACTACTTGGGTGCATATAATCAGTGCTGTCCGGGGAATTGTCCATGACCTGCAAAACAAGCACCATGGTCATACCAAAATTCAAATTCTAAAACAGGGTATATCAACCATGTACCCACCCACTCAATTTTTTTGTTGATTGCAAATTTGTATACAGCTGGGACTGGAGAAAACGGTCCCGGCCCTAAGCAAGAGTGAAAATTGTTTGACTTAATTTGAAACTGGAATGGAGGCTTTGGTCATTCAACTAGGGAAACAGTTGATTCCTAAACTAGAAAGGTTACCTAGCTAACATGGTACTATATCACAGTAGGTAGAAAATCTCTACGAGATTGACAAACTCTACATTTGAAGAATAACTGTGATCCAGTAAAACAAGATACTTCATTACCTGACAAGATACTCCGAAACAGCACCACCTCCCAAACGGCCAAAAAAGTTGCAGAAACTGAACAGAGAGAGTGATATAGTGGTGTCCACAGCACCTGCTGCAATTCCAACTTGTGCTAGATTGTTAAGGACCATGACTCCAGATCCAACACCGATGAAATATACTGCGAAAAGAAGCCAAAAGTCTGCCTTGAGCAGTGCTTCACGAAATCTGAAGTCCTCTCCTCTTTTTGGTCTTCTTCTTGTCTGCTTTACAGCCCCTTCACCCTCTGCATAGAGAATGTCAATATCGAAGGAATCCTCATCGTCTAGATCAGTAAGGTTTGATCCGGAGGCAGAAGGTGGAAGAAATGGTTCTGTATGATCACTATCAGCGCCGGAAGAGTCCGACGGGCCTTTTCTTCGGTTACTTGGAAACAATGTCATTTTCAAGGGTATTGCAACCGGCGCAAAGAGCAGAAGGACCATAATAACAACCAGAGAATAGTTCACTGCGTCACTAAGTGTTACGACATGATCCAATATTGTGGCCCCAACAAGATAAACCCCAAGAACAATGCTCCCGATTTGTGTGAAGAGGAAGTGAACTTGCTCTGAAGAATTCGGCACCAGAGAGGGTTGACAGGGTTGAACAAAGTACATTGTCAGAAGGCACACCGAAGGAACCCCGAGAGCGAGCAAAAGCAAAAGGCTCGCGGCCGAATCGTGAAGTATGCCGGTGTATATTTCGGTGTAGACGGCGGCGCTTAGGCCGGCGTAGCCTTTAAGGATGCCGGCAACGGCACCTCTGCTGAGAGGGAAGTTCCTCATGTTGGTTACCAAAACGGCAGTCCCCAACCACGCGCCACTGTTTGCAGCAAGGCACAATGCCAACCATACCTGTAATAAAATACAGGAGAAAGGCCCCTAGTCAATTCACAGTATACCCTACAATCAAAGCAAAGATTGACACGAAAGGCTGAAGCGAGAATCCTCCATGTGTGCACACACATTGCCAGCGGACAAAGCCAAATGGTGCTTCCCTTTGGCCAAATATATGACTGGCGCTTACTTGATTGCTAGTGTTTGTTCACTATTATATTTATGTTGTTGGGATCATAGAAAGGGACGTTTGTTTACGGGGAACATATTCGTCCATATATTAGTCCACAAGATGTTAACTTGCAGCTGCAAAAGCAGACACTTGGCGCAAAAGAATGCTACTCTACTTTCCCCTGAATTTACTGAACGAGAGCAGTTCAATTCCCATGTAACAGACCCCGCAACCAGTGAACAAAAAGGGATCTTACGAAATCGACCTCAGAGCCAATCGAGGATTTAAATTGTACTTACTAATGAATATACGGATTGAAGTGCAAGGAAGAAGGAGGGGGAGGTCACCAGCCAGTAGGGCAGCGCCGGGGCGGCGCCGGAGACGGCGAGCCAGGTGGCGCCGTAGCCGAGGACGCAGGCGGCGGCGCCGATGAGGAGGAGCAGGGCCGGGTGGAGGCGGTTGCAGAGGACGCCCGGGAGCAGGCCGAGGTTCTCCCCGACGTCGCAGGCGACGGCGAGCAGCGCGAGGCGGCGCTGGTCGACCCCGAGCGCGAGCTTGAGCGCGTGCGAGTAGAGCGCGAAGGTGGAGCTGGCGCCCCCCGCCACCTGCACCCACACCGCCGCGCTCAGCCCCAGCCACGGCGGCCGGCTCCCCGCCTTCACCGCCCCCGGCCCCCGCATCCTCTACCGAGCCGAGCTGGTTCTCTGGCTGGCCTAGTTTCCGGGGGAAGGGGGAGGGGAATCTGTGCGAGAGGGAGGGATGGCGAGCGAGTTTGGAAGTGAATTTAATGGGGGGTTTTGGACAGGACGGGAGGAGGAAAAGAAAAGGAAGGGGAGCGATGGAGGAGGCCCCGACGGGGATGGTCGGCAGTGTCGGGCTGCCTATGCAAAGCAGCTGCCGGGATCTCAGGATTTGGTAGGGGAAAGCGAGAGATCGGCCGGCCTGGCGCGCGAGCCAATATGGGCCTGGAACGGAGGCTGCTGGGTCACGACCGGCCTGGCGCAGACAGATGTAAGCGGACGCGTCCGTGACGTTCGTGACCGTCCGCGAAGGCAAAAGAGGATAAGGCTGGTCATAATGGGAAGTATCATATACTAGTATCATGCATATGATACTAGTGTAGGATACTACATCCATAGTGCATAATAACATAGATTAGTATCATATGTGGTCTTATTTATTATCATGCATGACGCATAGTAGCATAACATTTAATATGTTATGATATCTACCTATGTTACTATAATCATCTCTCTTCTTTAATTGACTGCCACATAAGCATGTTTGTGAGTCCCAAGTACATGTTACTACTTATGTTACCCCACTATGGCCAGCCTAAACTAATCGATGTTGCTTTAAATTCACAAGCTACTAGCCTACTACAAAAACCACGAATGTTGCAATATAAGATTGCATCCAAAGTAAGGTGCACCTGAAGGCTATGGGAGGAATGGCATGGCGCCTGGAATAGAACGTCCCCATGTCGGCAGGGTTAGTGTCAGCGGCAGGTGCGCGTGTTCGGCGTTGGTCTCGTCCGGAGGAAGGTGGGTGAAAGCTAATGTGGATGGTGTTGTGGATTGGGCAAAGGCGGCAGTGGCAGTCCTACGAGATCATCATGGAGCGTTCGTGGCGGGAGCGTGCCGTTTTTTCCCTCACGTCTTGGATTCGGCGTTGACGAAACTCATGGCTTGCAGACGAGCAACATAATTGTCAAGAGGACTTGGGCTTGAAAGATTCCTAGTAGAGACCGACAGCTAGGTCGTAGCATCTTGGTTGGGATCCGAGGGGCAAGATAGATCGACGTACATACGGTTATTGAGGAGACGAAATGCTTGTTGAGGCAGTCGGGGAACTTCAACATATGTTAGGCTCATCGTGCGGCTAATGGTGCAACACACCGTCTAACAAGGGAAGGTTGTGCTTTGTAAAACTTGTCTAGATGTAACTTCGGGTTTGATTTCGGACTTGGTTATCTCGAAGTTTGCCGAGCACATTGAATAATTAAATGCACTGAGTTTTCCCCTAAACAATTTAATGTTCCCTAAGATTATTTCTGATGAACAATCTGCCTTCGTCCTTGGCAATTAATCACTGACAACATTATTACGGTATATGAGTGTTCATATATTATGAAGTACAACAATGTGGTGAAGCATATACATTATACTCAAGCTAGACATGATAAATTCTTATGATAGAGTTGGATGCTCACTTCTTATGACATATGTGGAAATTAATTACGAAAGCTAATAATCTTGCATGAGATCATCCTTGGGAAACAATTTGCCTTCATCCCTCCCTGGGTGTAATCTCCGACCTCTTTTTCTTTCAGGAGAGATTACATCTAACTCTTATCTATGCATGATGAAACCTCAATATTAAGGGTGGACTGTGTTGTTGGCTATTTCTATGGCTACACAACAATTGAAGCTACTTGTGTGGAACATCCGCGGATTAAATGTACCGGCACATTGGAGCTGAAGGAGATTTCCCTGAACAGATGTTGATACACCTGGTCCAATGAAAGGGAGTGCACAACGATGAAAAAGATTGATCATGTTTTGCCACAACATCCTAGGAAGATCTATATCCCTCTTGCTTCCTTGCGGCTCCTGGAACCGCCATATTGTATCATTGTCCACTATTACTGGGTATCAACGCTAGGATGGGTAAGAGGTTCAAGTTCGAGGCCTTTTGGATGAAGGTGGAGGGGGTTATGGAAACTGTAGAGGCTGGGATCCTTTCACTGCACTTGATAGTGAACTTAAAGCCACCGCAAAGAACATGCGACGATAATTTTTCTGGTAACATCAAGTTGTTGATTGCCATTGCATTGAAAGTTATTCGTCTTCTGGATATGGCGGCAGAATCTAGATCTTTGTCATCCCAGGAGACTATCCTATACAAATTACTGAAAAGGAAGCTGCTGGGCCTATGCTCATTTGAGCGATCAATTGCAAGGCAACGCTCCCGCTTCTTATGCATATGGAAATGAGATATGAATATGCGCTTTTTTCACCAACACGCCAACCACCACCGTGAAGGAAATATGCCCTAGAGGCAATAATAATGGTATTATTTTATTTTCTTATATCATGATAAATATTTATTATTCATGCTAGAATTGTATTATCCGGAAACATAATACTTGTGTGAATACATAGACAAACTAAACGTCACTAGTATGCCTCTACTTGACTAGCTCGTTAATCAAAGATGGTTATGCTTCCTAACCATAGACATGTGTTGTCATTTGATTAACGGGATCACATTATTAGGAGAATGATGTGATTGACATGACCCAATCCATTAGCTTAGCACCCGATCGTTTAGTATGTTGCTATTGCTTTCTTCATGACTAATACATGTTCCTATGACTAGAGATTATGCAACTCCCGTTTGCCGGAGGAACACTTTGTGTGCTACCAAACGTCACAACGTAACTGGGTGATTATAAAGGAGCTCTACAGGTGTCTCCAAAGGTAAATGTTGGGTTGGCGTATTTCGAGATTAGGATTTGTCACTCCGATTGTCGGAGAGGTATCTCTGGGCCCTCTCGGTAATGCACATCACATAAGCCTTGCAAGCATTGCAACTAATGAGTTAGTTGCGAGATGATGTATACGAAACGAGTAAAGAGACTTGCCGGTAACGAGATTGAACTAGGTATTGAGATACCGACGATCGAATCTCGGGCAAGTAACATACCGATGACAAAGGGAACAACGTGTGTTGTTATGCGGTCTGACCGATAAAGATCTTCGTAGAATATGTAGGAGCCAATATGAGCATCCAGGTTCCGCTATTGGTTATTGACCGGAGACATGTCTCGGTCATGTCTACATTGTTCTCGAACCCGTAGGGTCCACACACTTAAGGTTTCGATGACAATTATATTATGAGTTTATGTGTTTTGATGTACCGAAATTAGTTCGGAGTCCCGGATGTGATCACGGACATAACGAGGAGTCTCGAAATGGTCGAGACATAAAGATTGATATATTGGACGACTATATTCAGACACCGGAAGTGTTCCGGATGATTTCGGAGAAAACCGGAGTACCGGAGAGTTACCGGACCCCCCCGGGAGAAGTAATGGGCCATATGGGCCTTAGTGGAGAGAGAGAAGGGCAGCCAGGGTGGGCCGCGCGCCTCCTCCCCCCTTGGTCCGAATTGGACTGGGAGAGGGGGGGCGGCGCCCCCCTTTCCTTCTCCCTCCCCACTTCCTTCCCCCTCCTAATAGGAGTCCTACTCCTACTAGGAGGAGGACTCCTCCTTGACGCGCCTATAGGGCCGGCCGGCCTCCTCCCCTTGCTCCTTTATATATGGGGGCAGGGGGCACCCCTAGACACACAAGTTGATCCACGTGATCATTTTCTTAGCCGTGTGTGGTGCCCCCTTCCACCATAATCCTCGATAATATTGTAGCGGTGCTTAGGCGAAGCCCTGCGACGGTAGAACATCAAGATTGTCACCACGCCATCGTGCTGACGGAACTCTTCCCCGATACTTTGCTGGATCGGAGTCCGGGGATCGTCATCGAGCTGAACGTGTGCTAAAACTCGGAGGTGCCGTAGTTTCGGTGCTTGATCGGTCGGGCCGTGAAGACGTACGACTACATCAACCGCGTTGTGCTAAGGCTTCCGCTGTCGTTCTACAAGGGTACGTAGATCACACTCTCCCCTCTCGTTGCTATGCATCACCATGATCTTGCGTGTGCGTAGGAAATTTTTTGAAATTACTACGTTCCCCAACAGTGGCATCCGAGCCTAGGTTTTATGTGTTGATGTTATATGCACGAGTAGAACACAAGTGAGTTGTGGGTGATATAAGTCATACTGCTTACCAGCATGTCATACTTTGGTTCGGCGGTATTGTTGGACGAAGCGGCCCAGACCGACATTACGCGTACGCTTACGCGAGACCGGTTCTCCCGACGTGCTTTGCACAAAGGTGGCTAGCGGGTGTCAGTTTCTCCAACTTTAGTTGAACCGAGTGTGGCTACGCCCGGTCATTGCGAAGGTTAAAACAACACCAACTTGACAAACTATCGTTGTGGTTTTGATGCGTAGGTAAGATTGGTTCTTGCTTAAAGCCCGTAGCAGCCACGTAAAACTTGCAACAACAAAGTAGAGGACGTCTAACTTGTTTTTGCAGGGCATGTTGTGATGTGATATGGTCAAGACATGATGCTAAATTTTATTGTATGAGATGATCATGTTTTGTAACCAAGTTATCGGCAACTGGCAGGAGCCATATGGTTGTCGCTTTATTGTATGCAATGCAATCGCGCTGTAATGCTTTACCTTATCACTAAGCGGTAGCGATAGTCGTGGAAGCATAAGATTGGCGAGACGACAACGATGCTACGATGGTAATCAAGGTGTCGCGCAGGTGACGATGGTGATCACAACGGTGCTTCGAAGATGGAGATCACAAGCACAAGATGATGATGGTGTTGGAAATATGCCCTAGAGGCAATAATAAATTGATTATTATTATATTTCCTTGTTCATGATAATCGTTTATTATCCATGCTAGAATTGTATTGATAGGAAACTCAGATACATGTGTGGATACATAGACAACACCATGTCCCTAGTAAGCCTCTAGTTGACTAGCTCGTTAATCAATAGATGGTTACGGTTTCCTGACCATGGACATTGGATGTCGTCGATAA